TGCTTGCGCCCTTTGCACGCACTGGAGTGCACGGCTGTAGCGTAGCCACCTTTTTGTGTTCTTGCCTGCGCAGAGTTCACCACCACCCACCCACCCCACCGCTCCGGTAGCCGGTGCGCGCTTTGCGGCGCCGTCGCTTTAAAAGCCGCAGATCGCGAATGTAAACAATGGGTTGCTCGTTGAGAGTCGCGTTTCTCGCGGGCGGATTTAAGCGGCGATAGATACGCTGAATTGGCGGCGGTGGAGGTGTGGGGGCAGAATGTTATGGGGGGGGGGGGGGGGCTAACTCGCAGGTACAGCGACTGAGTTTTTTGTGCAAAGCGCGTAGCGGTGACCGACCCAGACGAGCGGCTTGTGCCGCGAGCTACGCTACAGTTTGCTCGCTCGATGTCTCGCAAATCAACGCTCCGTTGCATAATAACAACAGCAGATACGGGAGGCCGGTGCTTGCTGCCGTTCGGTTTAAAAATAGCAGCACAGTAGCGGCAGCCTCGCCCAAAACGCGGCCGCGTGATCCCCTATCTGACAATCCTATCTTGTAAATTAAACGTTCGCTGTATGTGTGCGCTTTTAAGTGCCATTCTTGATGTGTCGGTGGGTGTTGACTGAGGCGGTACGGGGTGGTGGTGGTCGTGGTGGTGGTTGCCGATTATCTACAGTGTGTATCTGACGATGCCAGCGTTCGGTGTCGATCTGGCCTGTATGTTTGTAACGCGCTTGTCTGTGCTGGTGGCTGTTGGGCCGTGAAGGTCTGGGGCTTGGCACAGACCGGCGGCGCGGCCGTCAGACGTACTCGCGCTACCAGACGCTGGAGCTGGAGAAGGAGTTCCACTTCAACCGCTACCTCACCCGCCGGCGCCGCATCGAGATCGCGCACGCGCTCTGCCTCACCGAGCGCCAGATCAAGATCTGGTTCCAGAACCGGCGCATGAAGTGGAAGAAGGAGCACAATATCCCGAGCCTCTCGAAGGAGGAGTGCGAGGCGGCTGCGGCGGTGGCGGCGGCCGCATCGGAGGGAACGCCGAGTGCGTGACGTGCACCGGGCTGGGACTTTAGGACTTTGCATTTTTACAACGATACAAACAAAAAATATATGAAAGGAAAAAAAACACACACGACTCGCACACGCACGCACACGCGCACAAAACAACACATCTTCCGCGCAGTTAAGTGTGTCATTTGAAAAAAAAAACGTAAACTATGTTGTGCACTATAATTACAACCATGGTAAAATATTTTCTTGTTTGATATTATTATTATTATAATTATTGTACACGTAAATATTGTTTTTTTACAATTGTGTCCACTCTGCTGTCCTTATATGAATGTGTACAAAAGATGTCGCATATTTTGTTTGAAATAGTGGCCGTATGTCCATATACACGATCGCCTATGTATAATTGGAAGTAGTTAAATGGAACGTGTTCACATATTCTTGAAATCAATGTCTGTAAAAAAAAGAGAGCATTTGTAAATGTATTGTAAAATCGTCGTGTGATTTACGTATCTTTAGTGTTACAATGCTATCACTTAGTGGTATTAATGTATCTGAAATAAAATTATTCCATGTGAACCGCAGAAACGACTCTGACCTATCCGCGCGTTCAAAGGCGACGTCGCTCAATATTTGAGAACGGATTAAATCTCGTCGCGGCTCGCTTCAAACACCAAACGTTATCACAACCGATCCGCGATCAAAAACAACAGGAGCAACACGAGCCTCTCCGCGCCACCCAATGACGATTTTACGTCGCCAAATCGCGTGGAACTCACGTCGCGTGGAACTAAGGTCGCGTGGAACTAAGTTCGCGTTGATCAACTCCATCCCCCCCCCCGCCCGCTCTTCCCTTTCCTCTCCTGTACTCCGGGAGTCGCACGCGCACTCTGGCTGGCATCATTGAGACGTTGGCACTACTGAAAAAAAGCGTGACCCCATGCACGCGTATCTACCTTGACGTCTGTCTGTCTATTCGACGGCAGCCCTGGATAGGTGGCACGGGCGCGCGTGTGCGTGTGTATCTCTCTGTTGTGGGGAGCGGTGGTGTAGCGGTTAGCGCTACGCTGCGCTACGAACCCGTCGACCCGGGTTCGATTCCCGCTCACGGCCAACACCGGTGGCGATTATCTGAACCGGTCCTGGGCCTTCCCTAGGTCGACTCAGCCTCAAATGAGTACCTGATGCGATGTGTAAACATCGCGACTAGGGAGACAAAGGCGGCCGTGCGTGGTGTTGGCCACCCACCCCCTCGTTTGCCGTGCCGGCGATTATAGGTGCTCGCTAACAGCACTTGCACCTACAGTCTGTTAAGGCTATACGGGGGATCTTGGCCATTGTGTATCTCTGTGAGGGCTATACGGAGGGGGGTGGTAGGATCTTTGTCTTTATACCTGCTGGGCATATTGCGACGTACGCACATAACCTGGGGAAGTCCAGAAAGTTTGCCGGGACGACGGAGAGAAGGGTGCAGCAGCAGCAACAAGAACAAGTCTGTCACCATCTCCCCGAGTGTTTTCACGAAAAAAAAACCCCTAAGGCAACTCATTAAATCAGAATCTCCGAACCGACAGATGATCAAAAATAAACATGTGAACTGACGGCAAAGTTGCTTACTTTTAAAATGTTTATCTTCAAACTATTAATTTCATCGTTCTGAAAACATATGCGGAATACACGCATGTACATATATATGTGTATATATGTGTACATATATGTGTGTATGTGTGTACGTCAAAGATGGCTTGTTTTTTTTGCCATTGTATGGTGGAATATATTTTTGTTAATTCCTGGAATATCTTCTGGGGAGGGTGTTTTTTATTGTTGTTGTCCCCCTCAAACAAAAAATTTAAGATCTTGTCGTATTATTGCTGGGTTAGAAAAAAAAACATTCAAAAGTGTCAGATAAAGACCTGTCTGGTAAATACCCTCGTATTGGATACCGAGCTATCGCGGAGTAAAATATAAAATCTATTTTTTTTATCGACGTCAAATTTATCCGATGAGCGTCGACCGCTGCCTCAACGGCTCCGCTCTGGATTAATTTTTAATCACCGCACCTCGAATAGGAATCAGACAATGCACGAGCGAGTTCTTGGAGATGGTGAATGTAATTTATGATTTTTAATTATTTAAACTTTTTACTCAGCGAGTTGTGATCGCAATAATAATGATAATCATCATCATCATCACTACAACAACAATAATAATAACCATCGGTGGTAACGTGTTAATTGTTAGAGTATCGTGTGAATATAGCCCCGCGTGTTTAAACGCGTGTGTTGTTGTTGTTAGGTGCTCGCTAACAGCACTTGCCCCAACATTCTGTGAAAATGGCTCTAGGAAAGATCTCTTGTCTTTGCCGTTGTTGTTTACACGTGTATCCACATCGGCATTACTACTACAACAACAACAACAACCACGGGTTGAGCTCTGGGCGGTGTGAGTCATTGCTAGGTCCCTGGGTACTCGACTGAGTCGCCTGCTATTTTCTTGCACACAAGGATGGGCGAGATGCCGGCAAAATGTATCTCAAGACATTTTCTCTTATAATATATATACACGCGCGCGCCACGTGTGTGTGTGTATGTATACGTGCGTGTGTACATACGAGTGAGTGTGCGCGCGTCCATAAACGTGTGCGACGCACCTATAGACACACACACACACACGCTCACACACACACACACGTGTTTGTGCGTGCGTGTGTGAGCTTGTCACAATAAAGAGAGGCGCTCTCACATAAATATTAGTAATAATAATAATACCGCGGTTACATTTATTGTACGGAGCGCGCATTTAAACGCAACTAAGGGGACTCGTATATGCGGCGTCCCGGCGCGCGCGGGGCGGTGAATATATATTCATCGTGTAAATCAACAGCCACCGTCTCACGCCGAGTGCGGCAACACAACACGGAGCGTGTTTTGGGGAGATGCTCGTGGTGTGATAGCCCTGTCCGCTGTCTCTCTTGCTCGCTCGTTCTCTGTCTGTCCGCGCGGGGCTAACGCCACCACCACGACCACTACGACCACCATCAACACGACCACCATCACCATCACCACCATCACCACCACCACCATCACACCATCACCACCGCCAGGCGCCAGCCGCCTGCGTTTGGCTGACATCTCGCACCCCGTGCTCCCCTTCCGCGTCTCACCCCCCCCCCCGCCCGCCGCCCACCTTCCACCGATTGTTTCCGCGAGTGCGGGAAAAAAATTTATCGGGATGATTCTCATCCTCGTCGGTCGCCTTCTTCCTCTCGCCGCGCGTCAGACACAATTAAAATATTACACGGCTTGCCGACGCCTTGTTTGGAACAACACTTTGTTTCAATCTACGCTCCTTTATGGGCCGCTCCAAGTGGCTCAAATGCACGCTTGGGAACCATTCAGATTTATGCCCCCCCCCCACCTTTTCTCTCTCCCTCTCTCTTTCTCTTTGAGCTCGCCCGCCCGCGCGAGCGCACGCGCACGCAACGAATATGACAACTTCACGCGCGGGCATTTTATCTATTTTTATCTGAGGCCGCATCATAAATTCGAACGAGCATCTGTAACGTTTGGCCCGGCGATTACGCGCGTTTAGCGCCGCCGCAAACGCCGAGGCGCCTTTATCAAGAGGGGGGTTTTCTATTTTTTGTCGGAAGGCAAAAAATAAACACTCGCTGCCATTGTGCGCTCGGGTGATCTATTGTCCGCATCCGGCACTTTAATGTCCACCATAAAATGTTCAATACCGCCGCGTTATCATCTCGCGCAATAATTTTAATGTTATTGTCCCTTCCCTCTACGGCGAGGGAGGGCGGGCGGACGGGGCGGGCAGGAGTGGTGATGGTGGCGGTGGATGGGGGTGGGATGGGGGGGCAACCTGCCTATGCTTTGACACCGGCGTGCGTGCCCGAGCTCCGCCAGTAGATGCCGCCACAGATCGGCGCTGGAACCGTGGCCGGGCCCCTCCCCAACCCCCCCCCCCCCCGCGCAACGAGCGCCGAGCGCGGGGCCCTCTGTGCCGCGTGGTTCGTAGCGCCACGCCGTGGATTCACCCCCAGAGGTCACCGCTGCGAGATTTACGACTGGGCAACAAAGAACACGTGACTCGACGCGGCACCCATATTTGGCAGAGCCCGTCCAAACTAGCAACCAGCATGGTCCTCGATATTCCCATAATTCATACACCGTTCGGGGTGCAGTGCGAAACGGGCTTCAGGAGGCACCGATAGCCACAAATCAAGCCCGAACGCAAAAAAAAAAACAACAAACAAAACAAATGAGCTCGTACTTTGTGAACTCTTTCGCGGCGCGCTATCAGAATGGCCCCGACTACCAGGTGCCCGGCTACGGGAATGCGGGCGCAGTGAGCGACTCGTACAGGGAGTCGGCCGCGATGCATTCGCCCAGGTACGCGTACGGTTACAGTGGGGTCGATCTCAGCTTGAGACGCTCCTCCGTCGAGCACTGCGGCGGCGGCGGCGGCCCGGAGACCTCTCGCAGCTTCCCGCAAGCCAACAGCTCGCGCCTGGAGCATTCCTTGGGCGTGCCGCACGCTGCCGAGCCGCCCGCCTGCTCCGCTCTTTGCCCGTCTCCCAGCGCGCCCGGCACCAACGCCACTAAGCGCAACGGCGCTATCAGCAGCAGCGACGGGGCCAAGGCGGAGGCGGGGTTGGCCAGCCCGCAGTACGCGACGAGCCAAGGCGCCGAGCAGGAGGGCTCTTCGCCGGCAATGCATGCCGAGGAAGAGGGCCAGGCGGGCGGAACGGCCGGCGCTCAGGCCGGTCAGCAGCAGCAGCAACAGCAGCAGCAGCAGCCGCAGCAGCAGCAGCAGCCTCCGCCGCCGCCGTCGTCGCAAGCAAGCGGGAAGCAGTCTCAAGCGGCGCAGTCTCAGAACTCGCAGGCGCAGCAGCAGCAGCCGCAGATCTACCCGTGGATGAGGAAACTCCACCTCAACCACGGTAACGGCGCTCGCTCGCTCGCACGCGCACGCGCGCACGCACGGCACCACGCGCGACTCCGAGGGCTCGGGGAGCGCTCAAATCGCGAGCCGAGGGGGGAACGGCCGCGCGACGTCCGCGGGACACTGACGAGCAAAAACACCGCGTCGCGCGCGGGGGGGTGACACGCCAATTTGAAACGCGCAAGGCGAATGAAAGCGACATAGACGGCTTTCGGAAAATAGCCACGGATCGATAGGTTTGTAGATTTGTTGTTTGCGTTAGGGACAGTTGACGGGCATGTTTCACGCTCGTCCGGCCGCCGATTTTTTTTTCCCTTATTGTACAACAACGCGCCGTAAACGTCCCCGTTCTCACGTCGAAATAAATCTCACGGATTGCGCGTGCGTTTGCCGTGATGCGCGCTTCCCACCCCCCCCCCCCCTCTTCTCGTAGACGGCATGAGCGGACCGGAGGGCAAGCGTTCGCGCACCGCCTACACGCGCTACCAGACGCTCGAGTTGGAGAAGGAGTTCCACTTCAACCGCTACCTCACCCGCCGGCGCCGTATAGAGATCGCGCACGCGCTCTGCCTCACCGAGCGCCAGATCAAGATCTGGTTCCAGAACCGGCGCATGAAGTGGAAGAAGGACAACAAACTCAAGAGCCTGAGCATGGCTAACCAAGCCGGCGCCTACCACGGCTAAAGTCACATCTCTGCCCCCCCTCACCCCCCCACCCCGTGTGTGTTTGTTTGTGTGTGTGCCGAGCGACAGCCTCAGCAAAAAAAAAATTGCTGATAATTATTAATATGAGGGTAAACAAACAAAACAAACGTAATCCAGTCTCGTGTCATTTACATTATCTTTCGTTTTTTTATGATTTTTTGTAATAGCGGGCAGTATTAACGATACCTGTGCATTGACATTTGTATAAATAATGTGACGTGTAGGTGTTGTGCTGTATTATGGTGCAATTGTGAACCGTAGTTTTTTTTGTTGTTGCGGGGACTCGTGTCCATGATCTCGCTTCGCGTACTTTTAAATAATGTGTCCGGGGGGCATGTTCAGGCTTGGTAGCTGTGAGCCGCGCGGTTTCGTCGTCTTCTCTGTGTCTATACTGTGGCTTTTGCTCGAGAGCCCATTGGAAGTCCCGCAACCGCTTTGTATAGTGTAAAGTAATTTTATTAAGAGCAATACGTTTTTGTCTGTTCCTAAATTAGACTTAGTTGCTTTGCTTAGCAAACAAAACGCAAGGAACCACTCACACACGCTCGCACGCACGCACGCGCGCTTTTACGTCGGTACAATTGTAGTTTGTGAGGTTGATTTTTGTAAGACTTATCTTGAAAAGAGAAGAGAGAGATATTAGGACATTCCGTGAGGATCTGCCTGGGCACCCTGCCCACTCACTTACTCGTGCTGTCTGATGATGTATATCGTATTGTTTAACGCGCATGAACTCGCAATCGATCTGCTCACTTTTTTTTGGCCGTCGGGCTAAAAAAAAATAATTCGTGTCAAAGGTGTGCTGTCATTTTGCCAATTTATCTGTATATCAGAACAAAGAGGAAAAAAAATAAAAGTCAGATCTTGAGTCATCAAACCGCTCGCCCTGTCCTACGTTTCCATCGCGGTCGCTGCGTTTAGGGTTGTCCGTCACTCGTGCCCGCGCGCACCGGCACATCCGATGCTCGTCGTTGCGATGACGAGGCTGCTCGCGTGAACGCTGCTCCGTTAACTTTCCCGAACTATCGAAAATCGTTGTTACAAGGCGTCCCGTCGTTATTACAGCAAACGGTTGCCATCACCGATAAAGCCGCGCGCCTGGTGGTCGAAGAGTCGGCGATGGTGGTGATGGTGGTGGTGATGGTGGTAGTGATGGTGGTGGTGATGGTGGTGATGATGGTGGTGATGGTGGAGGGGGGGGGGTGCGAATAGGTTAGAAGTTTATATTTGACACTGTTCAGCGGCAGCAGCAGCAGGAGAAGCGTCGTGTTTTCGGGACTTTGGGAAAATAACTTACCCCCCTCCCCGCTCTTTGATGGTGGGCCATGAAAGGGGCTCTGTCGGAGGCCGCGCATATCAAAAGGGCCCGATTTCCGATTGCGTAATAAAACTCGGATCGCCAGCTCGCCGGCTTTAGGGGAAGCGATCATAAAGCGCTTTGTGTCGCGGGTGAGCCATTAAACTTTACAGCGCAATCTATCCTCTTTGTTTCAAAGTAACGCTCAAGCGCATCCGAAATCTGTCACTTGTGGTTTCCTATTTTAATTCAAATGTTTATCCTTCACCCCCCCGCCTCCCACCAACCCCCCCCCCCCCTAAAAAAAATCTCCGAGCGGTCAAAAAATACGCGGCGGCGAAGAGCTGCCGAGGGACACGGCGGTGACCCGCTAACAAATCCTCTGCGCCCAGGAAGCTCCTCTAAGCGGGACATCTCCCCCGAGTTCGGCCCCCCTCGAGTCGAGATCGCCGAGACCACGCGAGCGAGTTACAACGCGAGTCCCAGTCGGGGGGGGCGCCCCCCAATCCGTACCCCGAGACGCACCACCGCTGGCTGCCCCCCCCCGCCCCCCCCCACTAGGGCCACCAAAACCACGCCGAGGCCTCTCTTAGCCCCCCACCCACTCCCCCTCTTCCCTCCTTTCCTCTGCTCTTACAATTCACGTCGCGCCGCCGTAGTAGAGATAGACATATATGTATCCACTCATATGTATATATGTAGTTGCACGTGCTCTCGCTTTCTCTCTCTCACTGCCGCGATTTCCAATCGAGCGTGGCTTTCCTCTGGAGGGCGGAGCAGCAATATTCCAGCGCACAGCTAACTTGTGACTGCGAGCTCCGCACGGGAAGGCCCGACAGAGTCGTCGTTTATTGTATTACATTATACATCTTTACACACATATATATATAAATAACGCGACTTAATGAACTGCTAAACACGAGGCCTTCAAAGCGCGCATCTTGCCGTCGCAGAGGCCCTCGGGCGAGATTCTGACTTGGCGTAGGCACTTACCTCAACTCACGGGAGTCGCCCACCCCCCCCAACCCACCCGACATCACAGTGAGAGTCCCGCGTGTCCCTGTAACGCACACGGAGGAGTCCCGCGTGTCCCTGTAACGCACACGGAGAAGTCCCGGCCACTGCACGCGCTCTCTCTCTCTCTCCCACCGAGTTGCATAAACTTCGTGTGTCATTCTTTCAAGGTTCGTGCTGGCCTTTTTGTGCGCCTCAATAGCAATCAGGTAGCCAAGAGAGAGAGAGAGGAGGAGGAGGGGTGCTATAAATTAATTTACACTTTGTTTCTGGTGAGTTTTACTGCTTCTTTGCGGGCCATATAGCAACTGAGCTCACTGGCTGAAGGCGGAGCACGTGACGCGTTTAAAGTTTTATGACAGTGGCCGGTTTGACAGCTTTTTTCGCCCAGCGCTGGCCCATGCTCTGCAGTCACACGCAACCGCGGACTCCGCGTTATTGCCCTCCACACCACCCCCCTCCCCTTCTCTCTTTATGCGGCAACAGAAGGCAGGCGGAAAAACAAAGCAAGCAACAACACACAAAAAAAACCTCCAGGACACAAATGAATCGACGGGGGAGCGGCCTCATATTCCCCCAATTCCATGCCAGCCGCTGCGAGCTAAGTTTTTTTTTGTTACCAGAAGAGAAAAAAAAAACATAACTAATGAAATAATTTTAAAGTGCGTTGCCGCTCGTGCCTGTGTGGGGTTCCCCCCGCGCGCGCCCGCCCGCCCGCCCGCCCTGCTTCGGCCTCGCGTTTCGGGGCCCAGGTGGGGCCCATCGACCACCGGCTCAGCCGCAGTGGCCACCGCCGCCGCCGCCGCCGCTTCTGCCGCTGCCGACCCGACCGAGGTGCTGCTGCTGCTGCTGTTGGATGGCCCGCGCCTGAGCCCCAGTGACTTTTAGTCCGGGAGGCCTAATCAAGTATTGTGTTTCCTCGATCTGCACTAACACTCGGTGTGTATCGTGTGTGTGTGGGGGGGTGCTACTGTTACTGTGATGGTGGTGTTGGGGTTGCCGTGGCAGGAGCGTCTGTGGTAGGCCTCGGCCCGTGCGCCAAGCCTCCCAAGCCACGAGAAACTTTTTTTGTTACGATTCCCGTACCCACGTTGATGCTCGGTGGCAAGTTCGGAACTTTAAGCAACTGGAATGATCGGGCCGCGGGTGACAAATGTGCGTCGCAATTAGTTTTCTTGATGCGCTCGCTTGCGGTGGCTGTAAGGTCGCGATTATCCTCATCCTCCAGGCAGTGTGTTTAACCCGTCGGAAAATGAGTTATTAGCCGAGAGGGGTGCGGTGTACGTATCTCTGCGTGTGTACGTGTGCGTATATGTGCCGGCGTGTGCGTAACGCACATCGCGGGCACACGAATATCGAGGTAGAGGGACACCGGTTGTGACCACGCACGCTCCGTAACCGCGGAAACCTGGAGCCGAGATGAGCACACGGGAGGGAGCACTTTGCGTAACTCGCCGCTGGTGTCAAACAGCCATCGCGCGAAGATGTCACGCGCGTCGCCGCTGTTTATTATTTCTTCTTTAGGGTTTTTTTTTTGCGTGAGCGCCGAGGCCTCCCCTACTTCGGAGACGAAGCGAAAAAAAAATATTTTTTTTGCTCGGTCGCGGTTCGACGCGTCTCGTGTCTCACTCCATCTTTATTCATTGCATTATGCGCGTCGCGTTCATTATTTTTTAATTGTTTGAAGAAGAAGAAACTCCCCAACCCCCCCTCTTCTACACCCCCCCCCCTCCATCCCAAAAAAAAGTTTCCCAGCTACTTTCGCCAGAATTGATCACTTTTTGCTTGGGTTTAGTTGCCAACGTTCCGTCATCTTCATCGCTTTTTTTTCGAACAGGAAGAAACATGTTGGCCGAACGTTCTTTTTGGGTAACGGTGCAGTGACGGCAGCAGATAAATTGACTCACCGTAACTAGAGAGCACATTTGACTCTCTGCAATACGTGCTCGTATAGTTCGTTATAAGCATCGTTCGTTCTATGTGATTACGTGCTGTCTAATTTTTTTTGGCGTAGACGTAAAACATCAATAGGTCCACTTTTGTGAACCGTCTCATTGCATGGCAGCGAGGAGTTAGTAGCGTGGAGCTACTAACTCGATGAGCACGTAATGAGCACCACACTAGAACTTTGCGAGGCCACCCCCACCAGCATAACTACCCCTTTACTCACGACTGCGATATCACAGATAGAACATGGCACCACAGTACCCGCAATTGTTTTAATTAGCATCTCTCTCGCGCTCTCTACGTGACTTTCTGTAACTGCTCTCTCTCTCTAGCTACGCGAACATCTACCCTCTCGCCTGGCGCGTCTCTCCGGTTTTGTGGGCCCGATCTAACAACTGTTTTTTTTATTTTATGGAGGGAGGAGAGCCCGGGGGTGGAAATATTTCGTTACAATTGATTTGTTTTTGGGTAAAATGTGCTTGCTTAAGCGTCGCTCTTTCGTTACTCATTAAACCCGGGTGGGCACAGGCCCATCGTTTGCCGTGACTTGGTTTGTCATTGGCCATCGCTCGCTCAGCACGGAGGAACGACGCGAGCCGAGAGCCGCGCTTCGTTCGTTCGTTCGTAATCAGCGGTTTTGAAATTAAATCGCGATCGTAAAGTCCCCCCCCAACCTTCCCCCGAGTCACCGTGCGGATATTGAGTTCAGATCGGAAGTGCAGTAAACGCGCACCGCCGGTTTGATCGGGTCCGCGCCTCGTGAAAGAGGAGCGTGGCGATTGGTATATATATTATTTTGACCTTTTTTTGCTTGCTTTGTTTTGTGCCCCTTATTTAATTTCCGCGCTGCGCGGTGTTCACGACTTTGATTTAGAAAATATTGATCTTCAAAAAAAAAAAAACGGAGGACGCGGCGAGCAAAAATTGAAATTTGTACCAGGATCGATTCCCTCGCGTTTATTCAGATTTGAAGCCGAGTGCCGCGAGTTTTCGTGGTTTCTACTGCCGCCCAGACCACGTGGACGTGGGTTGACCAGGCCACGTGGACAGGAGTTGACCAGGCCACGTGGACAGGAGTTGACCAGGCCACGTGGACTTGGGTTGACCAGGCCGCGTGGACAGGAGTTGACCAGGTCACGTGGGGTGGGTTGACCAGGCCACGTGGACAGGAGTTGACCAGGCTACGTGGACTTGGGTTGACCAGGCCGCGTGGACAGGAGTTGACCAGGTCACGTGGGGTGGGTTGACCAGGCCACGTGGACAGGAGTTGACCAGGCCACGTGGACAGGAGTTGACCAGGCTACGTGGACTTGGGTTGACCAGGCCGCGTGGACAGGAGTTGACCAGGTCACGTGGGGTGGGTTGACCAGGCCACGTGGACAGGAGTTGACCAGGTCACGTGGGGGTGAGTTGACCAGGCCACGTGGACAGGAGTTGACCAGGCCACGTGGACGTGGGTTGACCAGGTCACGTGGGGTGGGTTGACCATGCCACGTGGACGTGGGTTGACCACGCCACTTGGGTTGACCAGGCCACGTGGACGTGGGTTGACCAGGTCACGTGGGTTGACCAGGCCAAGTGGGGTGGGTTGATCAGGCCACGTGGGGGTGGGTTGACCAGGCCAAGTGGTGTGG